CTCTAAACAGGAATCTGTACATGCAATTAAAAGGCTCATACAATCAGGCATAACCTAAACAAAGCTATCCTATCACTGACTGATCAGTACTAGCATGCAAGTCTACAAGCACATATAACAGGCATATAAGGCATCCTCCTAGATCCTTAGCCCTAATCTAGCATGAAATTCTCATAATCATATCATATCATAACATCTCATAACATGTATGGATATTTTGGGGAAGACTTACTTGAGCTTGGCAAATTGCACACATCACACACCTTGTTCTTTGCAAAGTTCTTTTCTCTTTTCAAACTTCTTTTATAAAATGATTTTATTTTTGAAAATTTTCATACCAAGTCCTTTGTTTGAGTTCAGACACACCCGAGAGTATATCCGAATCCCTCAAACCAAGGCTCTGATACCAACTTGTAACATCCCAAAAAATACAAGCCAAAAATTTCATTTTTAAATACGTCATTATAAAACCAACACTGTAATAAAACATTGTAATATCATGTCATGTCAAAACCAAAGTAGAAATAATCAAACATGTTATCATAAAACAATATCAGAGTGTAATCCCAAAGATCTCATGTGCGGAAAACCATAGTGTGATGCGCTGCGATCAAGCCGGCTCCTTTCCTTTAAACACGAAGTACCTGAAACCAAAACTGAAAACCGTAAGCACAAAGCTTAGTGAGTTCCCCCATCATACCACATACCATACAATCATATAACATACATATACTGTCAGGCATATTTGGGTGCCCGACCTACCCCTTCGGTCCTCTCGATCGGATACTGCCTAGCATATCTGGGTGCTAGCCTCCCCTTTGGTCCTCTCGACCGGATACCGCCTAGCATGCCTGGGTGCTAGGCTCCCCTTCGGTCCTCTCGACCGGTAACCGGGGACTATTTCACCCCCTAACACTACCACACAAAAGCATAGCATAAACACATAAGTCATATATTGCCTAGCATATCTGGGTGCTGGCCTACCCCTTCGGTCCTATCGACCGGTAAGTGGGGACTATTTCACCCCTACTACTACCACATAATATCATATCACATATATCATAATCTGTCTAGCATAGTTGGGGTACTAATCTACCCCTTCGGCCCTATCGACCGGTAACCGAGGACTATTTCACCCCTACTACCACTATCACATAAGATCATATCATGCTAGCACATAAACATAACAGGTAGTAGCAAACATAGACAATTATCACAAAGACAATCATCTAACAACAACTCCTACTGGTGGGCCGGCATTGTGGCCGTAGACCCACCGCTACTAGAAGGTAACTCACCTCACACTGCTGAAGTCCCGTAGACACGATCCCACACTGCTGAAGTCCCGCAGGCTGAACCCCAGCTATTGGTTGACAGATTCCCGAACTATCCACACCAAAATAACACCCAATTAATAATTGGGTCCCAACACATAACCATAATACATACTTAGATAATTATTACATTACCCCAGGCTTGGCTTATTTAAGACCAACAAGGCCCAATCCATAAGCCCGAAGCCAACTAGGAAACAAAGCCCAACATATGGCCCAATTTTCTAAATTGGGCCCAAACCCTTACAAGGTCTTACCATAAGGCCCAACCATTTAGTCCAGTCTAACATTCAACATTCTAATGGCCCAATATCACATAATCATAAAGGCCCAAACTATGGCCCATATATGGCCTAATTTTCCAAATTCGGCCCAACTCCTCATATGGGCCTTACCACAAAGCCCATTAATTATTCTAGTCCATTTGCTTGATCTTAGATGGCCCATTATAATCCAAGTGAAATTGGGGGTTCACATTAAATGATAATTAGGGTTAAGTTTCCTACTTAACCCATTAAGGACTTAATCCATTAAGTCCAATATCGCTTAGATTAATCTTTACCAATGATTATTATTTAATATATCAAGTTATTAAATAATTTTCGTGTGTCCCGATTAATTCTCCCAAATTAGGGTTTCATGGCATTAGGGTTTTCCAATCCAAATATTAGCCCATTTATCAATTTGTTGGGCTTTTAGATCAATTAGAGCTTTATTGGGCCTATTAAGCCCACTAGAATATCATTAAGCCCATTAGGGTTTTATTAGGGTCCATTAAGGTTTTATTAAGCCCATTAAGTGTTATTGGGCCCATTAGGGCTTCAAGCCCTCCAAACGAATCAACACAATGAGACAAGGCACACCGCCACCCGACACGGCGGCCGATGGCGACGGGAGGCGGCAGCCACCACCCTAAGGTGGTGGTTTTCAATTTCTTTTCATTATACCATTCATGTTACAATTTACAATTCAAGATCCAAAATCACACACACACACACACTAAAGAAAATACACCCACCCATAGTGGCAGCTACCACCTTGCAGTGGTGGTGGTGGCGGCTCTTACGATTTCCGGGAAAACAAACCACCCTATTTCACTGAAATAAACACACTTTTCCCCGAAACAGTAGCACAGCCACCCACCTTGTGGCAAACGAGGCGGAGAAGGAGCTATATGGCGGCAGTTTGCGAAGGCAGCAGCGGTTATCGGTGGTAGGCGGCAGCATACAACGAAAGGTGGCCTTCAGAAGCTCGTTTTCGGTGGCAGCAAGCTCGCAGCCACACGAGTCCTGAAGCGACATCACACTCCCACACGAGCTCACAGCCACCACCCATGGTGGCTGGTGGTGACGAGATAAAGCAATGACGACAAGCAGAGTAAGAAGAAGAAGAAGTCATGGAGGGACGATGACACTTCAACGAACCGAGGGAGAAGAAAGGGTGGAGTGAATCAGCAGTACGGTTTCAACACGCAACTCCCACGACCCCTCCACCTCATTTCCTTTTAAATTAAATCTAAATAATTACCATGGAGCCCCTGACTTCATAATTATTTATAAAATGAGTCCCAAACACACACTATTAACCCCCGACTTCTAGAAATGTGGCAATTAACTCCTTGAACCCAACACCATGCATATATAATTATTTATTTTAGGCCACCATTCGTTCATTAATTTATTTATTTAACTAATAAATAAACGGGTGTTACATATACATAATATATAACTAAGATTCAGACGACACTCGTACAAACAACCGAATACTCTAAGTCCACAACCAAACAAGGAACAGGAAATAAAGTGAGTTATTAGTGCTAAGTCCTTTCAACCTTACTTATATAACTATATCTATATAGACATGATTTTGATAATATATATAAGTTTAAAAGAGTTTAATAAAGAGTTTAACATATAAAAGAGTTTTATCCATTTAAATGGTAACAGATGACTTTAATTCAGTTTATAAAATGTTTAAAGAGTTTGTTTGATAAAACGGATGAAGTATAAGAAAATCCACTTGTTTGATAGTTATTAATCACATATTATTGATATAATAACTATAATAGTTCTACTTGTACCCCCCATTAAAGCATTTTTAAAGATAAGTTAAGGGGTATGAACTCACATGTAGTGAGTGACACAGTTGTAAGATCGATTGTAGGATGCTAAGTGTCAAGTGAAGTCTCTAACACAAACAGATCCTATTAAGCACATAATGGCACATATATGTATATAAATAGTGTTTAGGCAACTAATCATGATAGAGAATCACCCTAGGGACCAGGAAACACTTGAAACTAAGTGTCAAAATCACAAATGATTGAATAAAGGAGGTTTACGGCCACACCATGGAGTGTACGGCCCATGTGGTATATGGTCCTGGAGTGTACGGTCAAGGAGTTTACGGTCGTACACTCGGGGAAAGACTTGCAAAACGACGTGTTTTAAGGCCCTAAAAATTATTCTCTACGTGTTCACGGTCCTAGGCTTGGACTTGAAGTGAGTTTGAGGCCAAAACATGCATCAACACAAGGGTTTACGTCCATGCAAGGGTTTACGACCGTAAACTCTTGGTGTTCATGCTCTAAATGAAGTTTTAAGGCAAGGAATCAAGTGTTTATCAAGCCTAACTAGAAGATGGTAGAGATACTTACACATTGGAGTCTTGAAGGGGGGGGGGGGGTTTGCAGTCTAAGAACAAGTAGGTGTTCTTGGTGAGAATGTTGAATACTTGAAGATCTACCCAAAAAGATGATTTTCAAGGATGAAATCAAAGGGTGATACAGGATCAAGAAGGATAACAACTAATAAAATGGAAGTAATTCTTACATTTTTGGAAGATCAAGGTGAAATCCTGATTATAGTTAAGAGAGAGTTGACTTTTCTTGACTTTGAAGTGGAAAAAGTGGTGAAAATGAAGAAGTATCATATTTATGGGTGAGTTCACGGCCAGCCAAGGGTTTACGGCCGTAAATTTTAGTTTACTGTCATAAATTCCAATCCTTGGAGTTTTCCGGCTTGTATGTTGCACACTAAACTCTAGAATATACTTCCTAACATTGCTTCTTGAAGGTACTAGGCTTAGAACACTCAAACAGGCCCTTATCAAGGCTAAAAGATAGCAAAAACCAGTCTGACTTTGATTGAACTGAAAGGCTGTACAAGATAGAAATTTCAGGTTGTCACATCACCTTTGTTTAATGTTGGAGGGTCACTTTGACGAAGTGTGAGAATACTTTGAATATGTCGTTGTTTTTCCATTTCAGCTTCAATAACTGCTTTTCTTTATTCCTTCCATAATTCAATAACAACAACTTTTCCTTTGCCTTTCTCTGCTTCAGTGGGTGTTAGACGAACTAGAACCAACAATAACAATCCCATTTGACAGAGGTCTTTTTGTTGTAGTTGTCGAAATAATTGGATCATTCTTCTTTTGCAAAGTTGTAGGAATTTGAGTAGTTAGGACTTTTCCCACAACTTTCGCATCACCACTTGCATCTCCACTTGCCTTTCCAAATGCTCCTTCACCTTTGCTACTAACAACTTTTATTTCTCCCCCTTGCACCCCTGTAACAACAGGTGAGGCATCCGTTGGTAGTAAGTTCAATAGTTTTGAAAGCGGAGCCAATTTAGAATGAACTATCGACTCAAGCAATCGAAACTTCTAAGTTAAAAACTCAGGAGTGAATAGTGATGGAGAACTAGACTTCGAAACCATGGCTTTCAACTCAACCAACAATAAATCAATCTTCCCACACTGCTTCAACTCATACTCAGCTTGTGCATCCATCTTCGGAAGCATGGAATAGTAACATTGAGCAATTTTTGTTACAGCTTCAGCAATGATATCTACTTTCTCAAGAACAGAAGAGTAGTTATTGATCACTTCTTGTAACTCCTTTGCAACATTTGAGTGTAATTCTTTAATCTTTCGATTGACATCCTCTAGAACATTCTTCACATCCTGAACAAAGAGAACATGTCTTTTCCTTGAAACTTCTTTCAAATCTTTCAATTCTCCATTAAAGGTCTCAGATTGAGCCTTGACCCTTAACTCATTGTTCATGTCAGACTAATCAATTTTGGTGAGAAGACGAAGCTCTTGAGCTTTCAGCATAACATCCACTTCAATACCAGAAAGTGAATGTTTACCCCCTACATCAGCTTGTAATTGGAGTAAAGAGTTGAGCTTACGGTTTAAGATCTTGAACTGCTTCCCAGACATGAGCATATTGTTGGGAATATTCCCCTCTTCAAGATCAAACTCAATATCAGCAAAGGAACCAACGAACCCTCCATCATCAGTTTCATCGTCATGAACTTTTTTGGGTTCTTCGGTGTATTATGATGGGAATAAGGATGTAATGAGTTGTTGCATAATGGTATCGATAGTAGGAGAATGAGTAGATGAAGGGGTATGAGATGTATTATGAACAATGTATGGTGGTAACGAAACTGAAGTATCAATAATGGAGGTTTCAAAAGTAGATGATACAACTAGAGAAGGGTTACCTTAGGCTTCATTTGTCGAAACTTCATCACCCTTGTTGATATTTTCATCCATATCAGATACGTTTGCAGTGATGCTTGAAGTTCGAATCTCCTCATGAAATGATTCGATAGTTGAAACTTCGAGTGGTATGATAGTTGTCTGTTCAGGAGTCGAAATCTTGGTTGTTCACCTTGATTGATTGTTATATCCACTATAGAAGTTTTCACAATTCTATCAGGATTTCCAGTCTCCTCGATATTCGACTTAACTGGAGAATCCCTCACATGTGAAGAATTGCCCGCCTGATCATTGTTCAATGGAGATTCAGGTACAACTTCATCATTCATTGAATCATCTTGAATGATTAATTTCCTCTGCTTCCTTTGTTTCTTTGAGATCTTCTTAGCCATATCCTCCGCTCTCCTTTTCTTTGATTATGGAGAAACAGGTGTGGGTATTTCACAAACTACAACACCCTTTCCACCAATTTGTGGCTTTCAGACAATAGACGGTGAAAAACTTTCAGACCTTTTAGGAGAATGGTGAGGTTTGTGAGCCATTTTCTTGAGTCTTTTTAAAACACCATTCTTCAAAGGTACCACATCCTTCGAAGGATTAACAGTTTTAGTAACTATTGGCTTTGAGCTTTTCTTCGAAGGTTTTTCTTTAACTATAGCCTTCTTTGGAGATTTTGCCTCTTTTGCAACCGGACTAACTTTTGAAGCGCTTGGTTGAGCTTCCTTCTTAGATACTCTTCGCTTCTTCGAAGGACCTTCAGTTTTCTTTGTTACCAAAACCCCAGTTTCAATATCCGGATTGATCGTTGTCAAGTAACTCACCAAGAAAGGATTAGTAGGATCAACCTTTCGAAGCATTGCATCTGGAATTCTAGCAACACTTGGAAAAACTTCGTCATCATCTTCAACTGTTTTAGGAAACTGATACAAAGCAAACCCATCAGTTTCTTCATTGTCAGGCACTTGAATACCCTCTTTGTCATACACGAACTGAAGAATAAGATTCCAGTACCTAGCACACGAAATTCCATCCTTGGCATTAGTATTCCCAATACTTTTAACAAACTCGTCCCACAGTTGAGTAGCAAAATCTACTTGTAGGTCATAATAGATGCCAACCATCATCACGTATACTTCCAAACGAGCTTTATCTAACCCCACACTTCAACTTGTCAAGCATCGAAGATAGATTCCAAAGAGAAAGTTCCAAATACACGGCAACCCTGATTTCTTGAAGTCACTAATCTTGGTGAGAGTAAGTTGATAATCCATCTCATTGAACATGTGAATCACTTGTTCATTCGTAACTTTGTAAAACGGTTCAGAATTGGGAATATTCAAGATTTGAGCAAATAACTTCTTTGACAGTCTAAACTTCTTATCATTCATCAATTAGAAAGTAACAATCATCATTGTTTTGTTGTATGTTGTTGTAGAACCAGTCAACGATAACCAAGGAAGAGGAACAACAAACAAGTTGAACATGGCCGTTGATAAGACAGAACTCTTGAGAGCTACGATAAACATCTATAACTCCTTTGGATAAACACTTTCATCGCCTTGAACTTGGTAATTTGTGCTCTGATACCAATTGTAGTTCAGATTGAATCGAGTAATGAAACGGAATCAGAGTATGAATTGATTTAGGACACAAGATCTAAATATAATTTGTTTGGCACGTTGTATTGTTTTATCGATTGAATACAAGAGGAAAGAGAAGATGATTACAATCAGAGAAAAGTTCTTAACCTCTCAAAGTATCATTCCCATATTTATAGGGAAAACTAAAAGAACAAAAAGTATAAGGACATTCGACATCTAAGCTTCGACACTAAAGTAGTCCTTAAAATAAAATACAATCCAATATTCGATATTACAAATAACAAAGATAATTTTGACATCTCACAACCTTCGAACCCCAACAATTATGGCATTCACAAAAATAATTTTTCACAAATGGATTAGTGACATAAAAGAATTAAAGATGATTTTTTGTAATTGTATAATTTATTTATCATTATTTGCTCATAGTTATTTATGTGAAATTAAAAAATAACTATGTTATGTTTCTTTAAATAAAAACATAATAAAATTATTGCATATATAATAATAATAATAATAATAATAATAATTTTAATAATAATAATAATAATAATAATAATAATAATAATAATAATAATAATTGAAATTTAATGACTTTATTGCAATTTATTAACTTGGTGATTTTATTGCAATTTTCCCTAACAACAACAATAATAATAATAATAATAATAATAATAATAATAATAATAATAATATACTTTATTGCTTATTTGATATCAAAGATTTAAATTAAACAACTTAATTTGTTAAATTTTTTTAATGAAAAGATAATAGAATAATAATAATAATAATAATAATAATAATAATAATAATAATAATAATAATAATGGATTTATTATTTATTTGATATCAAAGATTAAGACTAAACAAATTAATTTGTTAAAAATAAATAAAAACTTGAATGTTAACTATGATTAGAAGTAGAATAAAATATTATCCAATGAATTATGTTAATTATGCTAAATCCAAAACTCAGCAAAAACTAAATTGTTGATATTAGCAAAGCCAGAGAAACTACTTACTACGACAACCAAAAAAAAAATGTATTTTACATAATAAATTCAATATTAATTATAAATCTCAATAATCATAAATTCCAATGGGTTTTTTTTATTCTTTTTAACATTTTCTATTTCCATACTAAATCAGTTGGGAATGGAGTGAAGGGAGGAGTAAACGCAGATGACAACTGTGGGTCAGTATGAGGCCATATGAGGCCACCGACGACAGCTCGGCGCCTGTCCGTACTGCTGACTTTTAAGTGCTACATGTCAAAGCCTCTCATTCCTTTGACCACTTTATACCATTCATTTTGAAATAACTTGTTTTACGATATATTTATCATATTATAGACATGAAATTTTCTAAGATTGAGGTTGTATGCGGAAATGATTTCTTATTTTTAGTTTGTATGTCAGCCTTTCTTTTACTTTTTTTTTTTCTTATCAATACAAAATATCTTTCACTCTTTTTTTATTTTTTTTTAATTATATTTTATACAAATACTATATTCATTTTGTATGGAAATAAAAAATTTAAATTTTGATATAATTTTTTAATAAGTATATTATTTAATAAATATTAAAAAAAACTGAAAAAAAAACCCAACCAATAAAAACAGGAGAGAGTGTGGAGTCTCTATCCTCCACTCCCTTCCCGCACGGTGTTCCAATGTGCGGGAACACCTCCCACACCCTTCCCGCAACGCTCCGTCCGACATAATAAAAAAACACAATAAAATTAATGATAACAAACAAATTATATTCGATAACGAAAACTATAAATTAAAACAAAAATATTACATGTTATGGCCGTTCTAAAAAACCTTACAAGTTATAATAATGTATTGAAACTCAAATCTCTTCTATATTTCAATTTGTCTTTTTATAACTGTGGGATATTATATTTCAAATAACATTTATCCCACTAAATATCATTGGAAAGCATAAAATTTGCTTTTTTAACCACAACAATAAACATCGGATGAATCCCATTAAAATGGGATATGAGAATGGTAAATGTCACTAGTCAAACATACAAAAGGAAGAATGATTGTGTCACATATATGTCTTCCGACATATTCCAAATATTGACCTTAAAACAAAGGAGACCAATGGCAAATAAGTTAGGGTAGGCCAAAAGACATAAATATAGATACATCATAAGGAATCATAAACGTCTGAAGACTTGAGAAAAAAACAAAGACAAAAACAAAGTGGAATAACTCAATGAGAGCAGTAAAACACTACATGAATAACGAAAATACTATCAAGTACCCAATACTATCAAGTATCCAAGAAGCAGGTATCAACAATAAGGTTCCGAAAATAAAAACACACGAGGGGCTTAGCTACCCATCAACTCTGATGTAATGCATCGACACTCCCATATATGTGGTCATGTCCTCGGTAAGGAAAAGAACATCATTTCCAAGCCTCACATTATCCTTCCACTTCATTCTAGGGCGTCTTTTCTTCCTCTTACCATCTTATCATATAATCTACCCTTATTATTGTCACTAATGGTAGCCTCCTTACATACAACCTCAAACGATCTCCCTTCAATTTTCAACGATCCATGTCACTCCCAACGAGTTTCTTATAGTCGTATTCAGATTCCTATCCAATAAAGTTATGCCACACGTCCACCTCAACATCCTCATTCTTGTTACTTCAATCTCCCTCTTGTAATCCTTTTTGGACGACCAACATTCATATCCATATATCATAGCAAGCATAAATAGCGACCCTAAAAATTTTCCCTTTTAAATGGGACCTTCCTATCATATACAAGACTCTTGAGACCTCCCTCCACTTTAACCAATCCGCTTTTATGCAATCAGAGAGTTCTACCTCCAAACCATCTCCTTTATGTATAATAGATCCTAGATACTTAAATCTCTCATTTGGGAAAAGAGGTAGGAACCCTAAAGTAGTGTCTACTCGTTCATTCTGCTCTATATTGAAATTTCACCAAAGATGCTTAGTTTTAGCAATATTATTGTGTAGCCCTTTATCCTCTAAAGTCTTCCTTCATGTATCAAACCTACCATGCAACTCTACCCTAGACTCGGTTACCAACATAATGTCATCTATGAAAAGCATACACCGTGATGATTCCCCTGAATATGGATAAATATTTCATCTTAGATCTAGGAAAAAATAAAGGTGCTAAGGGTCGAACCATGATGTAGCTCGGTTTTAACCGAAAAATGGTTGATGTCTCTTACTAGAATACATGTTGTAGACTGACAATATACATCGCAAATAGACATGACATATATCCTAAGGAACCCTCTAGCTTTCAAGGTCCTCCAAAACGTCACTCGTGGCACTTTGTCACAAGCCTTCTCTATTTCAATGAACACCATATGGGGTTCCTTATTTTTTTTCTCCATATTTCTCCATAAAGTGGTCAATCGCCTTAGCCGTCAACCTCCTATTCATTAGTATCAAACTGATTATGTGAAACTGAAGTGATGATATGCAAGATGACATTCAATACTCTTTCTCTCATGGTTTAATCATACGACTAAGTACTTAATGTCTTTATAGTTCCCGCAACTTTGGCCATCTTCATTTTTTTAGATATTGGGATCACTGTACTTGATCTCAATATATTTTTATGTTTTGTGCATTGAACCCCTTATAATTCATTTACCCCCGTAATTACATTTTAGTTTTATTTTTTTATATTTTTACTAATTAATTTTTTCTATTAAATATTTAATGATATTTCATTTATGAAATATAAATTTCATAAAGATTATATAATTGTTTTGGTCAAAAACC